TTTTTTCTACAATTGTCGATAAAAAAGATTTTGATCGATCAAAAACTTTGAAAATTTAATACAAGGTTCCTCTTAAATTTTATACAGTGAAACCTTATATTATTTTTATTATTATCAACAATTTTAACTTCGAGATATTCAGTAACCAGCTAGTCTGAATATTTATTATTATTATCAGATAGAATTCACAGAGTGACACTTTAAATATGGCCATACAGTAGGTTACACGTGGGTCACTGTATAATGGATGGTATTAAATTTGAATTCAATGATATAATATCATTGTATATAAGAAAAACTATTCTGAGCGGAGACGGTATGTCAGTCTAGGTATAAAAACTATTATATACATATTTATAGACTATAATATTAAACAAAAAATTGACCTATAATAAATTCCAAATTAATCATATCCCCAGTGGCGCCCAAGATATATTTTTCAGGTGTAGCAAGAAATAATTTTATCCACCCACCCACCCCCTCACGAACTCAAAATTATATTATTTTATACATTTTATCATACTTTAATGATAATATTAGTAAATATTAAGGTATCAACTAATATAATCTGTGATTAATAATGAAAATATTTCAAGTTACCTAATTATTTTATGTTATTATACCTACCCCTTATTTTCAAGGTGTAGCGACCGCTACATCTAGTAATAGGGTTGGGCGCCACTGCATTTAGAAGTTTCAAACCTACGAATAATATTATTCAATCACAACAAAAACACTAAAATAGTTATTCTAGGTTTTTTAATATGTAATTTCGTCCAAATTTGAATTTAAAATGTCTGTAAGAAATAACTGGGTTCATATATTTTTTAGATTTTTTGGTTACAGTATGAGAAGTATGACCTATTTATGAGAATCTTTGTTTTAAATTTGCAATCCTTAGCTATAAAAACTGAACATTTTATAATTTATTAATTACAATGATTGATAATTTTCGAGATTTTGATACATTTTGTCAAAATTTCAACTTTAAATGCTTATAAAAAAAAATTGTGCCTATGTGAATTTTTACACTTTTTGGCCCAACAGATAAAACTAAATTGAAATTTATAGAAAAAAAAACTAAAAAAATTGAAAACTGAAAATGTCCGTAAACAGCTCAAAAAGAGTCAAAATATTTTCAAAATTTTATGGTGTATACTGTATAGAAAATGCTAATATAAACATTCAGTGAAATTTTCATGTATCTACAGTTGTTCGTTTTTTAATTACAACAAAATAAGGAAATCGCTACATGAGAAACCGAGTGAATATCCAATGTTGTAAAAATTTGAATTTCAAACGCTCATAAAAATTTAATTTGACTTTGTTATAGACATTTTCTTTTTTGATAAAGGTAGATAATCTTATAAGGAATCTTGTATTACATTTTCAAATCTTAGAATTAAAAAGGAAAATTTTTACGCATTCTTAACTCTAAATAATTTGCTAATTTTCGTGATTTTTCCATATTTTGTCAATTTTTGAACTTTAAATGCTTATAAAAAAAACTGTGGCTAAGGAATTTTAATATTTTTCATCTGCCTTTGAAACAATATACTAGGAAGTAGGAATCTTCTATTAAATGTCCAAGCTTTTTTAACCAACAGATAAAATTTAATTGATATTTTTAGAAAAAAAACTAAAAAAAAAATGGAAAATGAAAATGTCCCTAAACAGTTCAAAATAAATCAAAATATTTTGAAAATGTTATCGTGTATAGAAAATGCAAATATAAACAACCAGTGAAAATTTCACGTATATACGTTCATTTGTTTTAGAGTTACCTACACCAAAAACCAAAATCGATTTTTTGGAAAACCGATTTTGCGTAAAAATTCCCGTTTTTCCTTAATTTTTATGTTGTTTTTCCCAGCGCTTGTGAAAACTATTGGGAAATTTTTACTTTTGGCCCCCCCAAAGTACCAACTAGATTCACTTCCCTATCAGAAAAGCTACTGTTGAAGAAAATCCAAGCATTTTTACTGTCCTAATGTCTGATGACAGACAGTAGACACACAAAAAAATAAAAAATAAATAAAAAATTAAAAAATTAAAAAAAAACACATCATTGGAAAATCAATACATTCATCTTTTCACTCGAAATCTAAAATTTTTTTTTAAAACATGCTTTTCTTAATATTATATAATACATGAACAAAAAAGTTGAAAATAAACTTACTTTTAAAACAATTTCTTAATGAAACTTCAAGGTTATCAAGATATATTACTTAAAGTGTTTCTAAAATGTATTTGTTGCAAAATTTTTAAAACTTGTGAAGTACAAAAAACGAAATGCATGGGGCTCCTATGAGTCAAGAATATCTCTTACAAAATTGGAAGTATGATCGATAATCTTGCAATCATCAAAAATTTTGCAACAAATACATTTTAGAAACACTTTTAGTAATATCTTGTTAACCTTGAAGTTTCATTAAGAAATTGTTTTAAAAGTAAGTTTAAGAAAAGCATGTTTTTAAAAAAATGTATTTATTTTTTTTTTTTTTTTTTGACAACTGGGTCATGTATTGTCACCGACCCTAGACCTCCATACAAAATTTGAGCCTCCTAGGTCATGTAGAAGTGACTTAAATTGAACTCGAAAGATTTGATGACAACAGAAATGAAACATTGCGAGTTAAAGAAAAGCATGTAAAAATACAACGCAGGCATAGTCCGACACAAACTCTACAACTGAGTTATTTCCCATAATAATTTCTCTCGTTTTAAACATAGGTAATATACTTTGTAAATGTTTTTCTACGGTACGAGTTTGTCCTAGGTTCTTTTTACTACAACTCTAATTTATTTGTTTTGTTCGAAAGAAATTTATATTTTAATTTTCTTAATTTCCAAATAGTCACAGCTTTAAAGTGTTCAATTAAATTCTATCGAATTTGTAATACCCGTATATCCGGTCTCTTAAGTATTATGTAAAGATTGATAAAATTAATCGGTTTTTGATTACTAATATCGTTATTATAATAAATTATGTACATAGACATACATACGACCTATATAATATATTGTATTTCAGTATATCAATTATCAAACAATTCAACTTATAAGCCAAAATTCAACTTAAATGACTTAGACTTATCGAGAAATTCTAATAATCGAGAAAATTAATCATACATATAGTAATAGGTAGGAACATTGAAATGCAGGAGACATGGGATTCCTTGGAATCATCGAAAATTCCACTTTTAGAGGTTCCACTGTATATTATATAAAAATATAATTTACCAAGCTTTGCGATTGACATCTAGTCATTTCACTTTTATGTGTTCTGAGGTTTTAACCGAATTGACCTATTCACTTTTATTTTTGTTTTCTCTCCATTCACTATAATATTTAAAAATTGAAATATTAGCTACTAATATTTATAAAATGGAATTCGTCACGACTGAAGGCTTCAGATCAAACAGTACAATTGTGCATTGTAACAATGGATATTTTTACAAAATTAAATGTACCAGAACAAATTCTAAATCATTGCAATGTATACAAACAGACTGTTCTGCAACCGGTATTTATGCTAAATTTTATTATATTTAAAACATTTTTTTTAGTGAATTAGATAGGTAGGCAATCTTGTAAAAAGATACTTTTAATTTGTATTTAAATAGAGATACAAATACATCAACTTTAAAAGTATTTAAATAGTATTTAAAGTACTTTTTTCAATAAGTATTTAAGAACAAATACAAATACTTAGAAAGTATTTAAACCCAAATACTTATTTTAATACATTTGTTTTATGTTTTACCTTTGGGTTCAATACTTTTTCCCTGATATTTTAACTTTAAATTTGACCATGAGATCAAACTCATTCAAACTGTACATATTAATTATTATTATATAGTTAATACTTAATAGTTCATATAATCATATATTATAATGCATGTTCCATATTCTGGTACTAACCAAGGTACCTATAATTGTATGATAAGTTAATAATCACCGAATGATCGTTTTAAATATTTATTGTATGAGAACTAAATAGATATTATAAGAACCTTTATCTCCACAACAAACTAGCTTTGGGAGAAAATAATTTATTTATAAATGCTATATTTCTGTAGTGAAAATATTTGTATTAATGTATATATTACGTATGTATACTATTCAATTATTCAACAGGAAAAAAAATAAGATCTTAGGTAAACGTAAAGTCGTAAACCGAATCAGCTGATTGAGTTTCGCTTCATTATGGTTCTATGTTTATTGTTTGGAGTTTAACAATAATATTTTGCATTTTAGGAGGCTATGTCGGGAATAAACTTACTAAATTTCAATGATATTACTCATGACTATATTATTATTTAGTCATGATATTAATTTGATTTCTGAGAAAAAAGGTAATAAATAATCATTTATTATTGAAAAAAAAATCGATAATGTATTTAAATAAAAGTATTTGATTTTCAAATACAAATACGTCCAAAACTGTATTTAAAATACTTTCCAAATACTTTATTCAAAAAGTATTTAAAAAGTATTCTAAATACAATAAAAGTATTTAAATACATATACTCAAATACTTTTACTCAAATACTTTACAAGACTGCTATATACATATAATTAGGCGCTCGCGGGGGCCCGCGATGACGTAGGAGGAGCGGGATGACGCAGTCCCGGTGTGGGAGGGGTGGGAAGAGGAGCTCGGGAAGCGCACAACGACTTAGGAGTACGGGATGACGTAGTACTGGTGAGGGGAGTGGGGAGGGGAATGATGACGTAGGGAAAGGCAGGAGGGGCCGGAGGGGTGGTGTAGGCGGGGGAAGGACACATGGTGGCAGGGCGGGAGGGGGTGAAGTGGGTGGACCCAGAACCGGCTATTTCCTACTACTGTCGCACACTATTTATAAATGCCCCGTATTTACTGCTTTATCGACAAGTGATTGTATTGACAAGGTAGTCCAAATAGAGCTGTGCAAAATTTATTTACGCAAACACAGCGGTAGTAAATGTTTTGGTAAATATTGTTTTAAATGTATACGATGTTACATTTAAACCAAAAACCTAGTATCAACGAACATGTAGTAAACACAGATAAAGGTGAACAGATAGCGACGACTTCAACAACAGCACATGTCGCTAATGAGACCGATAACGTGTTGCTAGGTACTGCGGTAGTAGAAGTATTCGGCTTAAACGGTGAAAAGACTTACGCCCGGGCATTGCTCGATTCGGGGTCTACTAATCATTTCATTTGTTCGGAGTTGGTAAACAGTTTACAATTAAATAAACATAAGACAAATCATATTGTTTACGGTATTGGGAATTCAAAACAGAACGTGACGGCAACGGTATCGTTAAGAAACAAATCAGGCGTGAGCGATTATGAAATAAACACGCAATTATTAATTGTTCCAAAAATCACGGGAGATTTCCAAAAGGGTTAGGTTAGGGTGTCCAAAAGTAAAGTGAAACTCGAAAAGATTACACTTGCGGGTCCGTCATATAACGTTCCGCAAAAATTGACATATTAATTGGAGCACGTCATTTTTATGATATTGTGGGAGCTCAGCAGTATAAACCGGATTCAAATGGCCCTGTATAACGCGAGTCTAAATTTGGATATATTATTTCTGGTTTAACATCAAACGACACAAACATAAAAAACACGATTTCCTGTTATGCATCAAACAGTCACGAAAATATTCATGAAAACAAATATGAGTGTTTATAAAATGTAATACAACAGTTTTGGCGCATCGAGGATTACGGCCAAAACAAACCTTACACGATGGAAGAACAAACTTGTGAACAACATTTCAAGCAAAACGTTAGTCGCAGCGAGAGCGGTCGATTTGTTGTACATCTGCCGTTTCGCGGAAACGTCTCAAAATTAGGCAAGTCCTACGACATCGCAAAAAGAAGATTATTCGCAATAGAAAAACGATTTATAAAAAATCCCTCGCTGAAAGGGGTTTACGTAAAGTTTATGACCGATTATGAAAAATTAAATCATATGACACAGAATAATATGGATAACGAAGAAATCGAATTGCCCGGTCTTATGTACTATCTAGCTCACCATTTGGTCCAAAATGTAAACAGTCTCACAACAAAATTAAGCGTAGTATTTGATGCCTCATCAAAAACAGAAAGTGGGTTTCGTTTAAACGACGTACTGCAAAAGGGACCGTCAATACAAGAGGAATTAATTCACATATTAGCCAGATTTCGCAAGCACAATTTTGTGGTAACTGCCGATATAAAAAAAATGTACCGACAGATACAGGTCTGTAAGAAACATCGTGATTATCAACGTATGTTGTGGAGAGAGAACGTTAATGACCCTATAAAGATATATCGATTAAACACTGTCACCTAGGGACAGTACCTGCTTCTTATCTCGCGACGGCTTGTTTACAAATATTATCGGAAATCGGACAAGGTCAATATCCAATAGTAGCACCATTAATTGCATGGGATTTTTATATGGACGATTTTATCAGCGGTGCAGCTACAAAGAAAGACGCGATCGAGATACGCAATGCACTTATCAAGTTAATGTCTACAGCTAAATTAGAGCTAGGTAAATGGGCGTCTAACGATTCGGATAAAATTCGAGATAGTTTCGACAACAATGACGGCTTAGTGGATTTTCAAGAGACAAGTAATGATTTAACTAGAATACTTGGTCTATATTGGGACTCTCACACCGACGAACTTAAATATAAGATTAACGAAACTTTTTTTGTAACGCCTCTTACTAAACGCAATATATTGTCCGATATTGCACGTATATACGACCCACTCGGCTTAATTGGTCCGGTAATAGTATGTGCAAAATTAATCATGCAAGAGTTATGGAAAGATAAGTAGTGAGTGGTATAAATACAAATCTGAATTATCAATTAAAATGCAATTAAAATTCCGAGTCAAATAACGATAAACGATAAAATGCACTCTATACAAATACACGGTAGTAGGTAGAGTTAGAGAGTTCCGACACCTCATCCTGCTGGCAATTTCCTATACCCGTCTGCTCATCCCATTACACCGTCTGCTCATCCCACTATACCCGTCTGCTCATCCCACTATACCTGTCTGCTCATCCCACTATACCGTTTGCTCATCCCTACACATTGACGGCTGCTGAACCCACCATATATCACACACGTTAACGATGTACCCCCGCCACCCCACCACCTATGACCACCGCGCGTGGAAAATAATTTAAAAATTTATCCGTCGGACCGGGATTCGAACCCGGTTCCCTTGCATGATAAGCGACCACCGTACCATCGGGTCGCCTACTCGCATGTGTTTGAGAAGGTATATTCTATCTCATTTAACCGACGTTCGCTTACGTACGCGAGGTATAATTTCCCCCGCCACTATACCATTTATCCCCTCCCGATTAACCTGTAGGGACTTTTCGATGTCTCCCCCACCAATTAATATTTAATTTGCTCGTTTATGAACACAACTACACAACATAAATTCAGTCACTCTATATAATCGTTCCAAGTGTCTACTCTGCGCGTGTGCTTGTCTCATATTCAGTGTTAAAATCATAATTATTTCTCAGTGCGTAAAATAAATATGGCTAGTCCAATTGAAAATATGGAAAATATTTACAAGAAAACTTACAAATATACACCACCATCGCCGCCAGCTAATCTGATCGATTGCAGTAACTTGACTATTGATTTCACGGCTCGGAAGTTTTTAAACATTGGACTAGACCCTACCGATGAATTCAAAGCAGCGGTTCATATTATAACAGCTTCGCGGTATGTAAATATTCCCATCGATTTTCTGGAACGCATATTCAGACTTATGGGAAACATTCTATTGTTCGTACTTGACCGTCCACACGAACACAAACGAATTTTATTTTTGGAGACAGAGTCTTGTGTCTAGTATGATATATAAATCGGAGAACACACTTGTTTTAGAATCGAAAACTCAAGACGGATGTCGCGTTTTGTTAAATCGTACAGATCTACTGGTCTTACAAGATTTAAAATGTGCTATTTTTGAAATTATTAAAAGAAAATCTGAAATAGTTAAACCAATTGTACTACATCATATTGAGTTAATCGTCACATTCTTAAAAATAAACGTACCGCTACAAAACTCTACACTCGAAATAATGAGAAACCATGTGAGAAAAATTGATAATAGTTATATCCAAAGACATGTTATTGACGAGGCAATACAATATGGTATTAGTCAGGGCGATTACATTTACACAAATCAAGTAAAATTATACGCAACTGATTCTATCGTACAAAAATGGATGAACAAAGTGAAAGAGGTATGAATATTTTTTCTTAACTTATTTTATTTTTATGTTAACAAACTAAATTTTTACAGGGAAACAATAGGGGGCGTTCAATAGCTATTTCCCCATCATCGTTCAGCAGTTTATATGAACAGGTAATAAACAGTTTTAAATTTTATCTACAAACCATATTTAAATTTCAAATATTTTCAGGAAAATCTATCATTAGTCTCGCCCTTGTCCCCGCCAGCACAAGAGAGCTACCTCGAGAACAACCAGGAAGGCTTTTCGGAAAACGATGGACCATTTGGACCACAATATAATTAATTATTTTTATACTAATTTAATTGTTTTTTGTCTAAAATAAAAACAAGCGTGATATTTAAAAACAAGTTTTTTTTTTATTTAATAATAATAAGGTTATAATATATATATAGCATAAGGTCACAATATTTTACAAAAAAAAAAAAATTATATAAACATTTTTACAATTTTCTAACTTCTCCACTAAACGGGCTGCATATTAACATACCATACATTGCTACACGACCGGTCGTTTCTGATTGGCTCATTTCAAATAGCCCGCTTTAAATTTTAATATAATCATTATCATATTATTTGCTTATAATATTTAAATATTATCATAGAATAATTATATCATAGAGACATAGAAATAGAATATTAATCATAGAATTGAATATTGAAAGTTGAAATTCACCTCTTGATAAAGTAAAGTTTACTTTATTTAAGTATAGTCAAGTTAAACCAAGGTGGCAAGTTAACATGATTTTACCAACGAATTACTCTAATGTTATTATAGAAAAAAGTGAAAACTTTATAAAATGTAGATCAAGTTTAATAAATTTAGATGATTGTAATAATTGGGTTGCTGAATTTGGAAAAATTAACCATTTAAAATGGAACTCAAAATCGTCTATGCCAAATGGAAAAAAAATCACTTGTTCGTTAGTACCTTCCTTTTAAAGTCATTTATTTCATTATAAGTACATATTATAAAGTATAGTAGCATTATATTAAATATTGTTTATTATACTATTAATAGGTATTGTAAATGTTTTCTAGTTTTAACATAAAAATATTTTAAAAATTGATAGATTATTACCTCTGCTATATTTCCAAACATTTTGTTAATATCTATTGTGTCTGTTAATTATACATTGTATTTAAAATTTTTTTATACATGATTATTATACAATGAATGTGGGTACCCAGTACAGGGTTGGAAGTTGAACAACAATACTTATGTTAAAGGTGGGCATTAACAAGTTAAAAAGTTAATTTATTTTATTTTATTATCTATATTTTATAATTGATGGCCTATCACATATACATAAACATTTTAATTGTTTATATTTCTATCTTTGACAATAGATTAACCCTTTACTTATAGGTAGGTATATAAAACTGCAACTGTTAAAACTAATTAATTAAATCACTACTGCTAGTGTGTCAGAAGACGGAATATTAGATTTTTTTTTATCTGAGAAAACAAAATATTTAGTCATTATATTTTTAAAAAATTTTAAAGTTTCACTATCACTATATATGTGACATAATATGTGTTAATTAAAAACTAATTAACTTCTGTTTAACTGAGTTAAGTTATTTTTTTCATATTAGCTTTAAAATTTTATAGTGCCTAGTTAAAATGTTAAATATATCTAAGGTTAACTATTAGGTATGGTTACAATCTAAAAGTTGACCTAATATTTAACCAATTAAAGTTATGTTTTTGTTATTAGCTTGCCCACCTTTATATAGCATGAGGATATTATAATAATATGTTATATGAACTTTGTTATACTTGAATTTAAATAAGATTTTACACTTTTAGTACATATATATTTTATCTATTAAGTATTATGTTAATTGTTAGGTAATAATCTAAGTAGGTAATTTATTAGTTATTTGAAATATTAAATTAGTTTTAACTTAACCTATCTATTGCCTTATTTATTGTATTAAAATATCAGCATTATAATACTTTGTAACTTGTGTTTATAATTCATAGAATTCTAATATTGTTCAAAATTATTATTATATAATTTAACTAATATTATAATAACATAGATAATGTGAAAATGTACATAATTGATTGAATATCATATTATTGTCAAGGTGAATTTGTATAAATCCACCTTAATTATTTCAAAATATGTAGAATGTTATTAGATTATTTAGATGTATTATTAATTATAGATTCATAAGATTTTTAAGAGTACCTAATAAAATCACTCAACAAGTTTAATTTTTTTTGTTTTACAACATTTTTTTCCCCTGTACCTTTATTTTAGTCAATATGTGAGGAAAATTCAGAAAGCATATCCACATATTTTTTATCAATAATTCATTTATTCAACATCTGATTTTTGTAATTTTTAAATATCTTCAAAGTCTAAAGACAATAATTTTGAATAGGTACCTTGGTTTTTGTGTTACACTTTAAGAGGAATCATTCTGTGGTGACACAAATCTGTTTTTAAATGAGGAAAATTAAAATAGAAACAAAATATTTACTTTAAATTATTCAGAAGATAGATAATTGAAATTGTATCTAAATAAATCAACATTAAAATGAGTAGTTTCTGAGTTACTAAAATACAATATAATTACCTACCTATGGTCTATAGGTACATATTTTAATGAATTTAATAAAAGTATCCCAATTAGGTAATATATTTCAACATTATAGGGATAAGTAAAATGTTTTGATATTGAATATTAAATACTGGGCTTGTAAATGTCCATAAGGATCGTGATTAAATATCTTTGAAAAATTAAATTGAAATTTGTTCCATGTACCTACTCATACGTTTGCTTATAGTAATATTAAATATACTCTACTTATACAATATCTACCTATTATTTATTTTTTTTAGAAAAAAATTTGTTTGTCATCATAGTACTTTCCAAAAAGTGTCTAGGGAAGAAAATAAAAAAGGTAATTCTAAAAATGCTAACTGTTCTGCAACTATTACTTGTGTTATAAAGCTTGATACGTTAGCAACTAGAAAATCAGACACTTTTATAAAGGTGAGTATGAGTTTGAGTTTTTTTTTTATTATAAGTTTGTCAACAAATAAAGTAGCGTTTTTTTTTTTAAGTAAAACTTCTTTTTTGTGCCTTGTGGTCTAGATGAAAAAAAATTGTCACAAAAAATGAAACGCATATATATATATATAAGTATTTTGTGTACGTCAGTTTCTATAGTGATAGTTGTTACAAAAATTTTGTTTAACGGTTTATATATATACAATTTTTTTTTGTATATATAAATATAACGATTACTGATTATGAACATATTTCAATATTTCAGAATACACTATTAGTAAAAAGAAAGCCGAGGAATGTGAATATGGAGTTACAAAAAAATCAAAACTAAATCGAGATGAATCTCGACCTTTACCTAAAACAAATGTAGTATATATTATATAACCATGTGTTTTTTTTTTTGTATTGATTTTTCTCACTCTCCCTAATTCATGAGCACTAATACTTATGAAAGAAGTTTTACTTCCCAAGAGTGTAACGGTGGTTAACCTCACACACTCTTTATTTTTTTAAGTGTAAA